AGTGACAAGAGTTAGTCTTATTTAAGGTGTAAGAGTCTGTCGGGTGTTGAAGACGTTCACAGCATTAGGAAAATGTGAATCTGATTCTAAAAAGAAGAAAAAAAGCCCCACAGAATGGACAGACTGCTGTTCTCTTCTGTAATTCACTGCCGTGGACTGTAAATTATGACCAGTCAACTGTGGAGATTACATGAGTCATTCATTGTGCTGCCCTCGTAGTCTTTCATGCACGAGCCCTCAAGCGTGAAAGTGCATGAGGTCCTTTTGCCAGCTTTGTTTTCTGTGCCCTTGTGAGCCACAGTACAACACTGCTAATAATGCACACATGGATGAAGAACAACAGTGGATGGACCATGAACAGACAGACACACACACACACACACACACACACACACACGCTTCTTTTTCACAGTTTTTTTTTTCTAAAACTATTTTAAAGTCAATTTCTCCACGTACTAAATACTATCCAGCCACATATGAGTGAGCAGATACATGAAGTACATGAAGTACAGCGTAATATCATCAACCTACACTGATCATATTAAATACACATCTACTCATATACACAATGTGAGTCAACAGTCCTACAGATTTCATCTAAATCAAAATGAAATGAAATGAATGGAAATGTATATATATATAAGTTACCAATGAGGGTGAACTTGAGAGACAAGCACAGCAAAGTTTAACAATACCATTGATTTACTAATGGGGTTTTTTTAGGATCTATCTAGAACAATGGTTTTCCCACAAGGTAAAGACACGTATAGTATCAGATTTAGTTAAGTTTAATTTAATTCCATTTTTTAAAATTTAATTAATTAATTTAAAGTAGTGCTATATGACTTAAAGTGTAATAATATTTAACTTTCATGTACATTAAACAAACATTATTTTAAGGTCATTTGCTGGCATCAAGGATTATGATTCAATTCTTACAGCATATGGTCACCACTACACTCTATAGAATATATAAACTTCTTGTTTTTGGTTTTAATTGTTCGTGATCTACAGGAACTCATTTCTACTCGTAGATCGCAATGTACCATCTACTAAAAAGTATTTGACTTTTTTTTTTCGGGCCGTGGTACGCTGAGCCACAGGTGACAGAGAAGTTTCATCAGGACTCACCGCAGACTGCAGTCTGAAGCAGAAGGAGGAGCAGCAGGAGCTGCAGTCCACTCACAGGTAATGTCCCTGACATCCTGCTGCACCTGGAGACGGAGATGAAGACGGCGTTAGTGGAGAAAAGTACGTACACACAACGGACACTGAAGGCAACATGTGTCCCGTATCACGTCTCCATCATGATGTGATGTCAGTTCTTTGTTTTCTTCAAGAGAACTTTAGAGAGTCTCAGATCAGCAGCATGCGTTCGATGGAAGCTTCAGTTCATTCCACACTTTCATTTTCTTTTTTAATTTGAGGAGAATGTGAATCATCTGGAGCCTTTTGAAACTATAATGAAGGCACTTTGTTCAAATAACAAGATATGGTTGGATTCAGTGTTTCATTTACTCGGAATGAAAAGGGAAATATGAACTTTAATTTTTTACTTGCCGTTTTTCTTTTAACAACCGCGACGACCACTTTATCAGTGTCCCCGTTACGTGGCAGTTAACCACGAACCAGCAGAAAAATGGAGCGACAGTTAAACAGCAACTCTCCTGGGGACATAAAAAAGCCTCACAACTGGAAAGATGGAAGGATTTCTGTTTGTTTAGTTTGATATTTAAAAATCAAACAAAAAACAGCCATCCAAAAAATAAAGTTTGACTGCTATGAGGAAGAAATATGTCATTTCGATTAAACCAGACCTTTGGTTCAGGCGCCACCTAGAGCCTGATTAGTTGCCAAGTGGGCTGAACAAGTAAAATCATAACATAATTATAAATTTAAAAATAACAACGAATCCATGTTTCCCCACTTTGTTTTCATGCAAATAAGCTGAAGTATATTTGAAAAATGAAATATCATTTGACAAAACATCACGAACATGAAGTGTTCAAAATTCATCAAGCGGCCTGCATTGAACCCCCAATGGGCCAGTTTTGGCCCATGGCCCATATGTTTGACACCACCGACAGTATAACAGTTAGGATGAGGATGTCTTCTGTGTGTAGGTAGGACACACGGTGATGGTGTTTGTCCAAATGTCTCTATTTCTCCCACTCATCAAAACCCTGAAGGTTTCAAACTAAGTACAGCCATTAGTTTTCATCCAACGAGAAAAGCACTCCAAATACAAAGGATAAAGAAGTTACATAAACATATTCATGGTTTGAAAGAGAAGCCATTAAAAAGTCAAATAACCTTGACTAAAATGTTTCAGTATTAGTGCCAAATTTGGTTTTTGAAAAGAAAAGTTTTTCTGTTTTTTTTTCTTTTTCTACAAGTCAAGAAGCTGAAGTTTAGAAAGATCCAGGTGCAACACAGGTAACGTAGCCGACAACCGGATAAAAAAACTGCAGCCACATCTAACCCAGCGCACCCCTGAGTTTCTTAAACACATCATGTGGGCAAACAAGTCAGGCAGAAATATAAACAGCGTATACTGCTGAATCTCAGCGTCGATTTTACAGCTGGCTCGGCTTTAACGACCTGTGGCGTGTCTGCATGTGGTAAAGAGTGCAGCGGTTTTGAAGAAATCCGTCATTCGTACAAACACTGCTTTACTTTTCATTATTCTTCAAGCCAGCCGATGTGTTTTGATGTGGAAAATAGGAAATACAATATGTTTCTGTTATCTTTCTCCGACGCTGAGGAGGCAGAGATGTTTTCTCTGCCAAAATGTTTTCACAGCCTCTCAGATTTATCTGTGCATCTGTGCCCGTAGCCGCCTGGAGCAAGGGAGAAAACAAGAAACGCAGCGAAATAGATCGGAAATCATTTCCTGGCACTGAAGCACCGTGTGTCCCCTGACGTAAATATGCACATTTTCTTTAACCTTACTTTTTGATAGACTGATGTGTGTGTGTGTTTGGAAAATGAGCCACGTCAGCTGGTGCTGTACGCCCTGACTGACCAATGACGGTTCAACGGGCCCCGGAGGCAGGAGCGGAGTTTGAAGGAAGACGGAGCTGTGGCGCTCAGATAGTGAGCGTCACTTACAACAGCACTGGTCACAGTGAGGGAAACTCAAAGACTCAGTCAAGGACAAAAATAATGACTTCATATCAAACAAGCCTCCTGAGCCCAGGCCGAACGGAAGCTGATTCACTACGGTCTGTGATGGTTGGAGGAAATATTTCACTGGATAAATCTGCTAACTATTTCAGCTAAAACCGTTTTTCGGACTGGGATAATGCAGGATCATGTATGCGCTTAGTTATGTTAGGAAATACTTTTTTCAAAGCCACAAATCACACTGCACCATACCAACCCCCCTGAACCTTCCTGCGGGTGGTGAGGTACCAACCGCCCTAACCGGGAATCGAACTTGCCCAGGAGGTGAACCCTGGGGTTCTACACCAATGACAGCCTCTGGGCCAAAGCACCACGAACTTAAAACCAATTTGTTTAAATAGGATTTATAAGATGATGATGATGAAAAACCAATGTACCGATGTGACACTTTACGTAAAGTCAAATTTTCTACGAAGCTTGATTTGATTTGAAACTGCATTTAATTTGCAGTGAATGTCATTTCAACATGATCTTATGTGGCCAAAAGAAGGAATATGCAATGACTTGAAAAAAAAAAAAAAAAGAAACCCTAAGCGTGAGAACTGACTGTAAAGTGCAGCCCTAATTAGTAAAGAGACACGGGACGTCTCCAGAGAGTAAAATCAGAGTCATTAAAATGAAGCCAAGTGACAAGTGCTGTCCAGTCTCACTGCAAGACTTTCTTCTACTAAAAAAAGAAAATGTGGGATGTGAGAAAAATATTTTAGGAACATCTACTTCCCTCACGCTATATATATATATATCCAGACAGCCACTTACAGGATGTCTGCTCAGGGTCAGAGAAATGTTCTCTCTGCCCATTCTTCTACGTTCTCCACCTAAACCATCTTTTTATACAGCACAATTATACCAGGCTCCTCTCTAAAGCTGTGGGATGTACGGAAGGTTTAACAAAGAAACATCCTTTCCTTCTAGTTCTCCCACATTCTGCTGAAGTCCTCACTTTCCTCTGTCTCTGTTAGAGGTGGTTTCTGTAAACACTGTGTGTCTATAATGGCCTTTTAGAACTCAGACACGTTCAGTTCAAACTAATGCATATCATAACATAGTGTCCAACAGTAGCCAAGACTACAGGGGTCAACAACTGTCTCGGACCGCCAGGATTCTTTTGCAAAGACATGAAATAAAAATCTAATTTATAGGATAGGATGGTTTTGTTTTTAGTAAATAATAGATCTTTGTCCAAATGTAAGGCCAATACTCCAGTTGCACAAAGAGAAAAAAAAAACTTGATTTCTTTTTTGTTTACTGACAAATCAGGAATGGCTAAGTCGATTAAGCTGATTCATTTTTTCCATTTTATTTTGTGTTGGTATGATTCAGATATTTTGACATATTCTGCTAATCTCTAAATATTTACTTGCTAATTAAATATGTGACTAAAATGTCACAGCAATATATTTTTATACAGTATTTTCTTTGACAGTTTATTATACGCCTCTCTTAGCAAACAGGTTTCTAAGAATGACTAGAAGACGCAGAGTTAGACCATTACAGACAGACAGGAAGATGAAGAGAAGGACATAGGAAACATTCTGTCCACGTCTGAGACCATCTGCATCAGAAGTGCCCAACCCCTGGTCCGGGGGCCAGTAGTGGTCCGTAGGTCATATGGTACTGGGCCGCAGTGGGACACAGTGAAAAACTGTACTTCAGTTTACTCTGATATTAACTAAGTCTAAAAGATTTGACTGATACCGGCCGATCGATGCTTGGTACAAAAAAGGTTTTGGGGTGGTCCCCCACTGGCCTGACTCACTACAGTACTGCAGTACTGACCCCCACAGTCACATCTGACATGTCTGCTGCTTCCTGTTTTTCCGTTCATCATCACACAGTAATTATAAGTAGCCTCATTAATTACTCTGACCGCCTCGCTGTCAATCCATCACTTCCCTCCGTTGTCACTGCCGGCCTGCACACAGAGCCACACACACACACACACACACACACACAATGATGCAAGTTGGGATGTAATATCCATCCACATCTCCCAGTCGCTCAGAGTGAGAAATGAGGACAGCGTTGAGTGACAGAAAGAGGGTTTTCTTTCCTGATGGATGTTGCCATGAGTTTAGTAGGCAACCTGTCACAATGTGTCATACGCAAATGATCCTGCACCTAACAATTGGTGCCACTGTGGAGGGAATCGGGGCGGTGCTGTTTGTCTTGACTAACACTGTGCTGTTGCTGAGTTCAAAAATAAACTGATTTGAAAACGCAGTCTAGTTGAGAGTACAGGCCGTGGGTCAGAGAGGCACATTCATACAGCCGAGAGAGTCCAGGTCAGATTTGTAGCTGAATCTCTCGGTGTACAATGTTAAAGAGAAGGTTAGTCAGAGGTGAAGTGGCTCGAACAAACAGAGAGAGAGAAAAAAAAAAAACTTAGAAGTTTATGAATGTAAAGGACTAAAAAGAACTGATTCAGGATCAGCTCTCCACAGACGTCCTCTGATTCCTACTGGCAGTCATATATATTCACATCCAGACAGAATGGGAATGAGAGGATACTGCAGGGCTTCCAAAAAAGAAATTGTCCTTTAAACCAAATCCCACCATATGGACGTAGCCACAGTGAAAGCCAGGGACAGTTTCATTCCAACACAAACACACAAACACACACGTGCAAGGAGCTCCGCATCACAATGAAGCCTGGGATATGATGATGTAAGACGATCAGAACGTCCTGTGGGGCAGTACGCTGATGCAGTGTGACATCACAACACACACACCTCAGAGACCAACACCTCTGTGACTCATAGATGTGTAGCTGTTTTTTTTAATACACCTTTACATTCTTCATGCACACATATTTTCCTTAATGCAGATCATTAGGTCTTTACACTAATCTTCCACTGTATTTAATCAACAGAGCCAGAGTGTGTCGGAAGACGAAGAGCGAAGGATGGAACGGAGGAGGAGAAGGTCGTGCCTGTTCAGGGGGTTACGGCCGTGGACCTGGGAATTGCCGTCAATTACTGTTAAAAGTGTGTTAGTGCACAGCACACACGTACAAAGTGCTTGCGGT